AGTGCCAGCTCTGGTAAAACCTTGAAACTTCAAGATGCATCACGTTACCTTTTCTAACTGGTAACAAAGACACTGCCCGTGACCAACTACCTACGAGATGTATGGGAAGCCTTACTTCAGTTGAGAGAGGCACGTACTAGAGTCCGACGTGCAAAAGTTAGCCATGCCAATGTTGGAGTGCCGCAATTAGATTGGAGGGTTATACGAAACATGGTGGAGGAAATCTTTAAAGACACCGAAGTCCAGGTGTTAGTCTGTTGCAATCCGCATAGTTACTGCTGCGGAGAGAAAACCGTCCCTTGTCATTTCTATACAACTGGAAGTTGTAAAAGAGGGTCCAGTTGTCGATATCAGCATGTCGTTCCAGTTCCAGTCCGACAAGGTTCCAGGAGGAACATCTTTTAAGAGGGGGGCAATGTTACGATTTTAAAATGTTATGGCATATAGAACTGTAAATATTTTATGACTAATTCTTTTTTATTGATTCTCGTAATTTGTAGGTCAAATATACCTGAGCTTAGCTACCAGTTGTTTTACCAGAAATCTTAGACACTAATTTTAGTGAGTCATCCGTTCGAGGTTTGAAAAACGAGTACGAGCGCCTTCACAAAATACGAGACTATTCACGAAGTCGCGAATTCTCTAGATGACACAGTTGTGTTTAAATGAAAGATTTTTATTGGAGCAGTCAGTTATAGAAGCTCGGCGAACGCGATATTTAATGTAACGAAACATAAATTAATATTTGTAATTAAATTGATTAATAAAGACTTTAATAAATTCGTAATTAGTTATCGTGAGTTTTAATATATTAGAATATTGACACTAAATTTGAATAAAGACAATATAAATTAGAACTATATAAACTTCACATTTTAAAGTGTTCTGACCACTTACCGTAACTATTCCATCTGCCTACAAAAACAACCTCGTATAGAATTGTATCTACGCAATTTCTTCGCAGATTCTTCGATTCACCGAATCCTATAAGTGTTTAAGTTTTTCGGGCGGAAGTGTATCTGTTAAATTTCAACCTTCGACACCATATAGAGAGAATAGAGAACAACATCTTAATAGTTTAATTTTCTGCCGGTAAAATCTAATGTTCTGATAGTTGATCATCATCATTCTGGGGGATTGATTATCATATTATCATAAAGCGGGGGTCGTGGGTCCTAGCCTCTATAGAATTGTCTCCGTGTCTTTCTATTTTGACGAAGTTAAAGGGTGCTCAGGTATTTTGAGAGAGAAAAGTGCTGAGGCTACAATTTTACGGTCGGTTTGTAAGCTCTTGCATGAACTATGTTTAAAAGTTTCCTATCATTATAAGCAATACTGTTTATTTATATATTACGTTTTAACCGGCTTCCAAGACCTTCTGTGTGACTGCAGATTTTGAGGAGAAAACATCTTACTAAAACTTAATATCTAAATGATAAAATTAATTCCCTTAAATTAATTATTCTCTGAATTGGGGGGGGGGGGGGGGAAATAAATCTAACCACTGAAATAACAAACAATAATATCATTGAACAAACTATTTCTGTCATATAAAAATTATTTTTATTAAAAATGATGATAAAATATCAAAATAATTTTAACCACTACTGCCTTAAATTAATAATTATTTGTAAAAAAATTCGGAAATTCTTAGCAAATCTAATGTTCAAAACAGACACCACTTGTGTCAAACGGGAAACCTAAAATATATTATCTTTTAGAAAAGACAGTTAAGATGAGCGACAGAGCCTGTGAAGTCGGCTCTGATGATACTTAATGAGGTTGAAATACGTATAAACTGCTGGCAGATGCCATCGGGTTGAAATTAAATATAATACGTCTTTCTTGAAAGGTAACAATAAGATTTCATTAACACACGAAGACTATAAAATAGGTCTACAGGAGGGAGAATGTAATGGAGATGAACTTAGTGTTTAAAGGTCAAGATTTAGCCAGATTGGTGACAGCCTACGTGTTATCAGTATGAAATATTAGGTAAGCATCTTATCAGAGATGGCAAGAGTTAAGATAGATGTACAAAACGAATAACCCAAGGGAAAAAATGCATCCGAATACTGAATTCATTACTGTGGTCTAATAAAATAAAGATGCATACAAACTTCGGTATACAGAGCAATTGTAGAAACCAATTACCAATATGGTGCGAATGTTGGACGATGACAAAGAATGAACGAGATAAAGTAGACGTTGTGGACATGGGATTATCTTAGAAGGTCATGTCGAGTATCGAGAATGGAAAGAATCAGGAATGAGGAAATACGAAACCGTACAGGACTTAGAGATACTCTTTCAGATAGAATACAAGGAAGGCAATTACAATGGTATGGTCACGTGATGAGAATGGAGGAGGAGCGGTGGCCAAAGAAAGCCTTAATGTATGTTCCGCCAGAAAGAAGGAAAAGGGGAAGACCACCAAATTCCTGGAGGAAGAGAAATTACAAAACAATGCATCTAGAGGCTTAGAAGAGGGAGATTGGGGAGATAGGAAAAGATGGAGGCTGAAATGCGGGAAGCGGCAATCGCTGTAGGAACCCCGTTATACTGCTGCTGATGATGGACCGCCTACGTGTACCTGGTGCACTATTATATCAACGTCGGAATGCTACAATAGAACTTGGTAAATAGGACAATAAGACAAATAAAACATCGAAAATATTACCGATCGATAAATAATACGTCATTGGGAAAAAAGGAAATGAAACGTGAAACTAAATTGCATGTATATAACACAATTATAGTACCAACACTTATGCACACGCGAGACATGAGTTACAAACAAAAGACACGAAAGTACCATACATGTAATAGGAATAAGGAAACTCTGAAGAAAATTTGCTGGGAAGACCAAGCTGGACAGGAAAAGAAATGAAAACATTAGAAATCAGCCTAAAACAGGAACCGATAGAGAAAAAACAGAAAAAAGAAAACTGAACTGGTATGGGCCTATAATTAGAATGGACGAGAACAGGCTAGTAAAGAAAATGACAGAGGCCCAAAAACAAGGAAGAAAAATCGATACACCTAAAAAGGAGTGGGATGGGGACCAAATCGAGGAAATCATGACAAAGAGAGCGAAAACAGTGCAACAAAAAGAAATGGCAGAAAACCGGAAAAAGTGGAAGAAATTGATAAAAGATGGATAAATATTAACAAAATCCGATGGCCTTATAAGGCATAAGGAATGCGATAAGAAGAAGAGATATAAATTTTTGCTTCAGTTTGTTCAATTTATTACATTACGTTGAACTTTCGCGGAGTAGCTGTAATTAACGGGACAGTTTGTTTTAGGTTAGCTATTGTCTCTCAACCTTGATTATCAGCTTACAAATTATTTTTTTGTTCAGTACAGGTTACTGTTATTTTTTTTTTCTTTTTTAAGCGAAAAACCTTCTACGATGATTGACGCACAACTAAATTTAGTCTTTCTTTTAATCGGACCAATACAGCAAGAAAATTTGTGACACTTTTTTAATTTGCGAAAGTTCTAGAATAATGTCTTCTTCTTCCTTCTTGTATGTAGCGCTTTTAAAGCTTGTTCTATCTTCAATATTATACTCCTAAATTGTTTAAATTACTCGCACCATCTTTTCTTGGTCTGCTATACTCTTCGTCCATTAGGGTGGCTATATCCTTGGTTGGGTGGGTGTGTGTGTGTATAGTGTGTATTTCCACTCCTGTTCTCACGTTTTGTCACCCATCCATTCTATGTCTCTCTAGATTGCATCTTTTAGAGTGTAGAACGTCTTCCACACTTTGAATTGCGCTCGAATCGCCTTTGTCAGGTCTACAAAACATAGGTTTGCATGGTTTAATTTTACTCTTTGGGCACTTTTCTGTGATTTGTCTTTAGTACAACACGGGGGCCGTTCTGACACAGGATCTCCGGATCTGAATCCTTGTGTTCTTCTGTTAAGTTGTTTGGTTTATTTGATTTTGTTGGTTAGCGACTTTTGTGATAAGCTTAAGTGCGGCTTTCAGTAGATTTATACCTCTATAATTGTTGGGGTTTTCTTTATCTCCTTTCTTGAACATTGGTATCATTATGCTGTTTCTCCATGCGCCTGGTATCTTGCAGTGCAATATTAGTTTTTGTATAAGTTTTGTCATCTCTAGGGTTATACTTTCTCCTTCGTGTTTAGTACATACTGTGTTTCTGCAAAATATATTCCTCTTTGTAACACTTTTTTCTGTTCACTTATTAACTAAACATCACAAATACTACTATTTTTTAATACACTGCAATATTATGAAAACAAGAGTTTTGTCATTAAATATTTCATTTCGACTTTGCCAAAATAGCCATGTTGTTGTAGTGTTTTTTCAATTAATTTAATAAAAAGACCCAAAAACAGTTTTCGTTTTCAAAACAAGCAACATTTTGTCATTCTGATTTTGATACACATTCCCGTAAAAACATTGATAGGCTACTAGCAAACTGTATACGTGTCCATTCTGGACGACAGTTTGGAAAGAAAGTACTCCTTCTTGAGCTTTTATATACTCTAGGCTAAAACCTTTTAGCCATGAACCAAATGAACCAATTTAAAATAGTTTTAACAAGAGTAAGTAAGAACACAATTTCTGTTTTTAAACAAATCTGCAATAAAATTTTCTTCAAACTGTCAGATTTGTCCCTGCATGAAATGTATGCAAAACATTATCTGTCATACAATAGTTCATTTGGTTTGAGACATCTTATATTTATTGTCGATTGTTCATTGCGATGTATATATTTTCCATTCTAATACTTTAATTATCGTTCATTTTTCTCATTTGGTTCTTGTTAATATTCTATTAAATAATTAAACAATCTCCTTAGTTCTGTTCTGTAGTTGGTGTGCTTTATCTTCTTGATATTTTTCTATTTTAATTTATTGTAAGTTAGTTTTTTATCTTCTACTAAATACTAAAATTAAAAGAGAAAAAATCTAGGATAATCTTGATACAATACAACAAATTTAGAATTGTTAAATCCTTACCCAATAAATTAATAATGCCATCATTATAACAGGCAAATAAGCGTATTAAATCCTTAAAAAGCAACATAAAACACATATTTATCACTCCGTTTGTTAAATCATTTGCGGAACAATCAAATTCCAATAGGATATCCAGTTGATTTTGTAAAGTGGGAAGAGTTTTTAACAATTTATCTGCGTTCATTGTCCTTAACATGCCATCATCCTTCCTGAAACATCAAAGAATTATTATTAATATTTTATTAAATAGCGGACACAATTTATATTATTCATGAAAAATATTTTTTAAAACGCTTATATATAAATAACGATGGTTAATTCAATATTTTACATCAAGGACGATGCTTGCTAACAGAGCATACTTCGCGCTGTCGTAGTGTCAAAATATGCTTAAAAAATAATAAAAATAAATAAAGGCTTTGGCCACCAAACAAATCAAAAATACTAACAAAAAGGCGAAAGCCATTCAAAAAAATTAATAAAACCCCAAAACCTGGGCTAGAAGGGCCACATCCTCGGACACCGAGTCGCCGAACTGAGCGCAGCCTGGAGCCGAGCATCGAGGCCCAAGCAAACAATTTCAGTTAGATGATACGTCACTAGAGAAAGCAGGAAAAGAGCGCGTCACGCTAGCCTGCATTGATCGGGTTAGGATATCGTGTTGGAGTTCTTGTTCCTAGGACTTCCACACGAAAAGCATTGGTGATAGTTGTGCCTTCGCGAGAGTGCATAGAGGAAGCGCGGATGGAGCATTGGGCCGGTGGAGATTTTAGTTGGAGTTTTAGGCATTTTAACTTTGCAGTCAAAAATTCAGAGTAGTGGTCTAATATTGACATAATTTAAATAATGTGTACTGCAGTAAAACACTATTTTTTTCTCAACACACATTAAAGGACCACATTAACTATTTCTTATTCTTAGTTAAAAATATAACCAGACATAGGTAAATCAACAGAAATAGCGGAAAAGATTTTAAAGAAGTTCTAACATTGAATATGTTGCATATATTTTTTTTTTCTGTTTCTGTATTTAATTAAACTATATTATAATTGGATTAAATATTCGATAATAAGAAAATCATCACAATTTTAATGGGAATAAGCCACAATTTAAGGTTAAAATAAGTTTATTGACGTTTCAATCTTCACTTCGGAAATCATTCTCAAAAAAACAAAATTTGTTTAATTTATTAATGTTTGTATTTTGTGAATGATTTCCGAAATGGAGATTGAAACGTCAATAAACTTATTTTAATCTTCATTTGTGGCTTATTCCCATTAAGATAGTAATTACTTTAAAATGCCACAAGAAAATTGCTTCAGAACGATAAGAAACTCATTATGTAAAACCTGTACGAATGTATAAAAATATTTAACCATAAATACTCACCCTCTTTTAACTTTGCAAAAGTCGAAGGCCGTAGTTCTGTACGATAAGGCCTTCTCATTAAGATATCGTGAATATTTTCTAATAAATGGAGACATATCATATCCTACAAAAAATACAGAATTATAAGATAAGTAACAACGTAATAACAGTATTCAGTTGAAAGGATTAAAAGACAAAGCTAACGCTAAATATTCTTGTGAATTATCTATATTTATATAGGTCGTCTGTGGTTTTCCTTGTTATCTCCAAGGTCTCCACTGTTTCCATTAGATTATTCCACCTTTTCATCTTCATATCTGATGTTGGCTCCTGCAAATTGCCGTTAAAGTTTTACTATTTCTCTTCCGGCATCTCGTACTTTGTTTTTCCCGCTAATCCACTTATTCGTCTTTCTATTATATGTAGGGTACACAAATCAAAAATGCCAGAAACATATAGTTCCATGAAGGTCACCATTCATCAAGAAAACCTAAAGAGAGCTTGGAACAAAGATGTTTGGCCAAGGGTGCAGTGGTATCTAAGTTTTTTGTGAAGAGGAGGATGCCAATTTAACTGAGATCCTCTTTACATAAAGTATTTTAAATTTAAAATATTTAAAGGTCATTCACTATAATGCTCAATCGTTGCGTAACTCTTTTCTAGATTTTGAAGTTCTGCTCAATGATATTTCAGCTGATTATTTGTGTCTTAATGAGCACTGGCTTTTACCTGATGAGCTACATACTGTCAATATTAAAGGCTTTCGTATGGTTTCTGGATTTTGCAGAACGGTCAAGTCTTATGGAGGTGTAGGCATATATATTAGGAATAACGTAAGTTTTAATCATTTGAATCTTGAAAATTTCTCTTCTGAACAGCACTGTAAGATTACAGGTATTTTATTAAATAATCTATGTGCAGCTTATTACTGTATCATACTCCAGATAGTGATTTAGACAAATTCTTTACCATTATGGCTAAAGCTCTTAAAAAAATTAATGTTCATAAACCTGTTATAATTACGGTGACTTTAATGTTCATTTTAATGAAACAGACATCAGAGCTTTAAAACTCTGTAATTTTTTTAGATCTTACAATATTACAAAAAAAGTTAAATTTAATACTCGAGGTAATTATGTCTTGATAATGTTTTTCGCAAATGTTGATGGGACCACAAAACCTGTGGATCTCACTCACTCACACATCTGACCACGGAGGTATTTCCTTTCAGATAGCTTAATCATCCACAAATTGTGCAACCAGTTTGTTATAGACGTATCACAGATGAAGGGTCCTTCAATTTGAAACAGATTTTGCTAAATTGCAACTTTAATTTTGTATACAATGATAATTTGGATATTAATTTAAAATTTAAAATGCTAATTGATGTGTTATTAAATTCCATAAATATCTAAAATTCAACGAGGAAACTAAGTTCCTGTAGCTGGCTGTATACCATATATCACAAAAAATTTTTGTTAAAATCCTTGCATGTACAACCGTTTGCACTGATGATGGATAGTTTAATCCGAAAACGTTTTGCAATGTGTTTGTGATAGCCCGTTTGAGGCATTTTTTTATATACCTTTTATAAAGGATTTTAACAAAATTTTTTTTTCCATAAATATCTCTTTTCCAGAAAAATCAAAATTGCTGAATATAAAATAATGCAGGTAAAAAAGTAAACTGGTTCAATGACACTTTGAAAAAAAATGCGTGAGAGACTACAATTTATTTATAGTAATAAATGGAAACGATCCCATTGCTGCACCTAGAAGTACCATTATCAAACTTAGAAAAGAGTACAGGGAAGCCATCAGGAGAAATTGAAACAGGACCCGATCAAAAATGCCGATAGCAAAAAAACATCTTGAAAAATATCACTTCAATAAAAAACTTGTTAAAGATATGACAGAGAGAGAACATAGAGATGCAAAACGTAAATGGAGGAAAGCAAAGAAGAAACGTCAAGAGCGCCAAAAAATAGCACAAGTAAAAAATATAAAATTAAAGGAAGAGAACGAGAGGCTGAAAAAGAAATATAACAAGTACAAGAAAAGATGCCAAAGACAGAAACACAAAGAAAATAAACTAGAGAACGGAGACAAAAAGTACGCAACTTTGTCGAACACCATCAGAAACCATTACTCCAAAATAAAGACTGTAAGAGATCGGTTAGCAATACGATGAATTTTGTATGGAGATGTTATACGAAATTCAAAAATAAAACTCGGTATTGTAAAAGTAAGTCTCGGTAAAAAATGCAGAAGAGGTACCTGCTCGATACAATGAAAAATCTTTTTAATTCTTTCAAGAGAGAAAATCCTGACGAGAATTGCTCATACTCTTACTTCTCCAAGCACAGACCATTCTACATAAAGCCATCAGTAGTTGGTGGCAGGGATACCTGTCAGTGTAAGATGCATATTAATACACAATACATTCTGAATGCTATTTACAGCAGAAAATCATATCATAGTAAAACATGACCCAGATTATTGAGAAGACTGTATGTGCAGCTGATAACAGACTTTGCATGACAAATGGTTACGATTCTTGCAGTACCAAAGATATAATTTATAATACACAAAATAAGTCACAAACTCTTAAATGGCAACAATGGGTTCGGAGATCTGGGATTATTATTGACTAATCCGGAAACTGCAAGAAAGTTACGAAAAACGTAAAAGAAATTACTGAAGGCACTGTCGAAGAATTGATATACAAGTTTAAAGTGGGCAATAATAGCAATAAAGAAACATATTTATAATATTAAAATGCAATACAAAAGTTACCGATTGGCTATTGATGACTTGAAACATAACGAAGCTCTTCTACAACCGTCGGACTTCAGTGAGAATTACAACGGCAAATACTTTGAAGAAATCCAATCACATCATTTTGGAGGATCGCGCAAACATTGCATACTGGTGTTTTGTATATAAAACCACAAGAAGCAGACAAAGCACAAGTTAGTTCATTTTGCGGCGTGTCACCAAATAATTCTCACAATCTTGCAGCCATTTGGGCACATCTTCACCCAGTAATTAGCACATTAAAAGCTAATCATCCATACATAACAACAATCCACGTCTTCTCCGACGGTCCTGCTATGCAATATAGGCAGAAGATAAACTTTTATTTCATCTGCACAACAATATTTGAGGAGTATAGCTTTGATCGCATCACCTGGAACTTTTTTGAAGCAGGGCACGGGAAGGGCGCGGCTGATGGTGTCGGTGGCTACCTTAAACGAACAGCAGACCAAAAAGTTGCTTCTGGCTTAGACATCCATAATGCGGAGAATTTTTTTCTCGCTTTAAAAGACTGCAGCAAAATTCAATTGTATTTCATAACCATGCCGATAACTGCTGGTAAATTGTACTACCGTGATCTAAGTTGCTTTGTCAAAGGGGTCTTTGCGACTTCTTGTCACCTAAAACATATCAGCCCATTCCTATTTCATCCAGCACTATCTGAGAGAAAGAGATAAACTTTGCTACCAAACTATCCACATTTAAGAGAGGCGTATTTGAACACCTAATTGCTTCAAAATATTTATTAAGGACCACTGAAGCAATAAAACAATTAAGAGGTATTTTCCTTCGATTTATTTATACAATAGACTTAGGACTGGTTCAAACATTGACAATTATCGCAATTTTGGATGTTACATAAAGAGTTATAAAAAAGTTTAGCTTTACAGTGAGTGCGGGGAGGCAGCAACAGATATACATGAAACGATAAAATTGGGAGAGACCAACTATATACGTTTTAACACAAAACACTTAAAAACACCGGCTCACGATAGCGCATCCGCGTCTTACGTACTTTTCGGGATCACACACACCCGACCTTCACTTGCCGAGAGGCAAATTGGCACTGTGGTTCCTAAGTATATGACAAGGGGAGGACGGGTCCCTGATTTAGGAGATCAGTCGCACACACGTTAACACGATAGCTGACGACCTGAGAGCACAATTTGATAAAATAACTGTGATTACAATATTATATAGGTTGTTTTTACAACATACTGCCCCCCGTTGAAGCACTAGCTTTAACATTATAAAAATCATTAAAGAGAAAAGAGTACATAAAAAAAAACAAACAATATGAGTAATAGTATACAAACAATATATGAGTAAAAGTACTAAACCTAATAACATTAACATAATCCTTCACCAGGAAGGGGACACAATTTTGTTATTGTGCGTTTGAAAATCCCATCCTTAGTTTTAACAGATGCAATTCTCACTCGGCCATCTTTACCCGGAAAGACATCCATCACTCGTGCCAATGACCAGTAGAGAGGAGGGAGATTATCTTCTTTAACTAACACAAGGTCATTGGGTTCTAAATTTTTGAATGGGAGAAACCATTTTGGACGATTTTGAAGTCGATTCAGATAATCAGACGACCACTTTTTCCAAAAAAGTTGCTGGAGCTTAGAGAGATTTTGCCAGATGCTAAGTCTATTTTCCGGGATAGATGTATACTCCTGGTCGGGTAGCGAGGTGAGAGACCTTCCAATTAGGAAGTGACCAGGGGTAAGATATGTGAAATCGGAGGGATCATTAGAGAGGGCACAAATGAGCCGAGAATTAAGTACGGCTTCAATTTGGGTAAGCACGGTACTGAATTCCTCGAATGTAATTTTGAGATTGCCCAACAATCTATAGATATGATGTTTAGCGCTCTTTATAGCGCTCTCCCAGAGTCCTCCATGATGAGGAGATCGAGGTGGTATGGTTTTCCACCGAATTTGAGAGGAGGCTAAAAATGCCTGAATAGAAGAGTTAGTTTCCTTATTTTTCAAGAAATTATAGAGTTCGAATAACTGATTTTTAGCCCCGAGAAAGTTTGTCGCATTATCAGAGAATATAGTCTGAGGGAGACCTCTTCGACTGATAAAGCGCTTGAGAGTAAGAAGAAACGCTTCTGTTGTGAGCCCACTGACTAATTCTATATGAACCGCACGTGTGGACATACAGACAAATAGAGCTATGTATGACTTTATCAAGGGAGCTTTACGAAGTTTAGAGGCCTTTATTAGAAAGGGACCACCAAAATCCAAACCTACATGAGCAAAAACTTGAGCAGAGCATAAGCGTTCCTTAGGTAAAT